TACCCAACCTGGGTGCTGGGATCCATACTCTGATCTGCACAAATAGTACTCTTAATCCCTGCATCATCTCTCCAGCCCGGTCATGATTCTTAGTAAGAAAAATACTGTTTACCAAGTGGGAAAATGATATGAAGAGATACTCCTTGAAAGAAAATGCAATTGAAGACAACTATCTGAAAAAGGGTCCATATCAAGTGATGACAAGCATGTACAACAAGCCCTGGCTCTTGAAATGCAAACCAGAAAAGCCCCTCTGGGGAGGTTTTGAGTAAAACCTTATGACCTTGCAGCCCCACTCCTAGGTATTTCATCAAAGGGATGGAAAGCAAAACCTGCAGCTTTAGTCAGCAAAAAGCAGATGTCTGTGGTGGGATGAAGTGCTGTGCCTGCATCGGAACACCATTGGTAAGAGCAAATAAACACAGATGGACCTTGGATGTACTTTGCAACCTGAAAGAAGTGAGATTGTGATAAATGTTTGTGGTTATGTCAGATCACATTAGAGGCATCTAAATGAAGTAGGTGTGGAAACTTCTATTTTTGCAGCCCTCTTGCAAATCAATACTTCAAAATAAAACTTACAAGGAAAATAAATAGGCAGTGCTCTCTGGAATTTGGATATTGCTAAAAGGGTCCCAGGAGAAAGTGAAGGTCCTTGCTGGCTGGTGGTTATTGTTAAATAATAAAGTCATCCACATAGTGACTTTCATCCGTCCCTAACTCCGGGGGATCTGACTCCCTCTTCTGGCCTCCAAAGGCACTGCCTGCATATGGTGCACTTACATGCTCACAAAACACACATAAAACTAAATCTTTTTTAAAAGAAAAAAGTCATTAAATATTTTTTAAAAATACAGTAGAATACCACTCATGGGTTTCATTCTCCCTTTAATAAGGATTTACAGGGATAACCTCAACTCCACTGAGTTCACGATTATACTCCTAAAAGACATTTCTAGCCACTATTTGAGCACAACTGTATGTTGGGGACCCCTGCTGTTTGGGTTGCAGTCTCTCCATGTCCGGATAGCCGCATGCTGGCTCGGCGTTCTTATGCAGAGATTCCCCTTCCCAGTAGGGTGCCTCCTACTCTCTTCCTGACTCACCTTTGAAGTGCCCGTCACAGATACATGACCTCTGGCACAGAAACTACCAGGTTTTAATCAGGCAGTGTCTGACAGCCTGATAGAAGCCCACCGCCACATGTAAATGGGGCATCCTACAGAACACCTGTCAGCTGAGGCATTGCATGACACAGGTGCACTCACATGCAGGCAATACCTCATACACATAAAAAAATAATGTAATTGCTTAAAATATTTTTAAAGGCAGTATGATTTAGCTAAAAGTCTTTATTAGAGGTGATAGTCTATGATGATACACTTGAAGACACATGAGAAGGTTTTGGCATTGTTTCAAGAACAGAAATGCAAATCATCCTGGGACATCTCAGAATTTAATTAATCCAGAAGTTAAGTTAAAAGCTTCCATAGCACCATGAAATCTCCAGGGAGGCCTGGGCTTCAGCAGGCAGGCTCTGCACACTTGAGCAGCTGTTGCCTAGTATATTCCCAGATCAGGAGAGCCCCACTAACATGCACATTCAGTGAGCGAATAACACCTTGCTGAGGGATCTCCACACACACGTCCAGCTGCTGGATCAGGTTGGCTGGGATTCCTTCTCGCTCGTTTCTGTGGAAGAAAAATAGAGGAAAACTTAGCTTCCTTGCACTAAGGAAAATGCCTTTTTCTTAGAAGTCCTGAAGGTTAATGAAGGAGATAGACTGACAGATGGAGTCAGTCTTGGGTTCCAACAAATAAATAAGGGCATATCAAAGACTTACAGGCCAATTCTGTGTTTACCCAAACACCCCACCAGGTGAGACCAAAGGAAAACCCAGAGAGTCCCAGAAAGTAAGTTGGCAGGAAGTTGTGAGCGTGAAAGGCATGGAGGCAAATCATAAGACAACAGCTTCTGGACAGGTGCAGAGAGCAGACGTGGACCAGCGCATCCCTCACCCCAGCAGCAGCAGCGACTTGTCAGGGAAGCGATACTGGGCCAGGTCTGAGCTTCGGGCCGTCTGCTCCACACCGATAACCGTATAGCCTTCTGCTTTTTTCTGCTGCAAGTAATCCATCAGCTGAGCTGGCCTCACCTTAGTGGGAGTTTTAAAAGAGAGAATATGAAATGACAACAAAGCAAGTCATTAAAAGTATCTTCTAAAGGAAAACAGGACCAAATGCTATCAAAAAGAACTCCCAGCATGTCACAGATTTCTAAGATTTACTGACAATCCAGACCAGTATAACAGAAATGTGACTGAGAGGAATACTACCCTACTGCTGATCTCTACAAACAAAACTAAAACGATACTTTGAAGCACTAGACTATTAAAGGCCAGACATATAAATTATTGTAAAAAGTTAGAAAGACATAAGGACAGAGCATAAAAAAAGTATCTTTGCAAACACAGACTTTAGTAATGGGCTACTTTACACTCACCTCCACCAGAGGAAGCCACTGCTCTGCAGAGACACTGAGGTGCTGGAACTGTCTGTCACTGACACGCTGAAGACTGCCAACAACAAGCACTGCAGCCCCAAACACCTCACAGGTCCGGCACAGCCCTGCACAGAACAGCCCCATTTCCAAGATGGTCTCTGGCATGTGGTGCAGCTCATGGTGTCCCACCCATTCCTCTGAAGCGTGCCACAAAGGGTTGATGGTAGATTTCCAGGATCAAAAAGTTTTAAGTGAGCTACCTGGAAAATGATGATTTTACCTCCTAAATTCGTTGGTTTGTCAATGAGAGAGGCCACGACAATCAGTCTACTGATGGACTTCCCAAGTTTGGCAGCCCGATCCTGAAACACAAGCTCCAGATCAGACTCAGGAGTGTTGTGTCCCCATGGGATAATCTTTTTCTGGACATCGGCCCACTCTGATTGGCTCTCTGCTTCACTCAAAGTAGGACCTGGGAAGACAAAAAGATAACAGCTCCATATATAAATGAGCATTAGTTGACATTCTGTGTACTTATTTGCATCTTTAGATGTATTTAAATATTCTTTATATATTTGTTATATAAATATTATATATTTAATTATATATAAATAGTTTAAATTTTTTGATGTGTACGTAGGGCAGGCCTGAGTTTATGTTTGAGTACCATGTGCATACAGTGCCTGCAGAGGCCAGAGGAAGGCATCAGATCCCCTAGAACTGGAGTTACAAATAGTTATGAGCTGCCATAACCTGGGTTACTAGAAACTGAACCTGGGTCCTCTGCAAGAGCAGCAAGTGCCTTTTACCACTAAACCATCTCCCTAGTCCTATTTCTAAAATTAATTTTATACGTACAAGTGTTTTGCCTGCCTGTGGTGCACTGCCCATGGAGGTCAGAAGAGGGCATTGGATCCCCTGGAACTGGAGTTACAGACAGTTGTTAGCTGTCATGCGGGTGCTGAGAACTGAACCTGGGTTCTCCTAAGTCATTTCTCCAGCCCCATGAAATATATTTTAAGAATTTTGAATGCAGCCAGGCCTGATGGAACAGGCCTCTAACCCCAGCGCTTGGGAGGTAGAGGCAGGAGGATCAAGAGTTCAAGGTCAACCTCATTTACACAGTGAGTGTTAGGGTCAGCCTGGGCTACCTGAGACCCTGTCTCAAAACAAGAGTTTAGAGAGTGGCTTAACTATATATTGTTACTGATGAACTTTGCTAAGATTCAAACAACTGCCATTTTTATTTTTATCATTTGTTCACCAATACAGTAAAAGAAGAGAGAAAATTTTCTTAAATACATGGTGCTAATTACATCCACACTGAATTACATAGAGGACTGTTTCCTGCATGGTGTGTCATCTCATTCACTGTTTGAGGATTCTGAAAGCTTTGGGATGTGCAGACACAAACACAAGGCCCAGCTTAACCTTCAATGTGTGGCAAGGACTGCAAGTTCATGCAGAGCCCTGTGATCCCCTAACACAACCAGGACAGAAGCTAGGAAAAGGACTTCCTGTGGCAGCCCAGCTGGAACATTTGCTTGATTTTTAAGATTTGCATGTGTTGTGAATGTCTGTGTTTATGTGCACCAAATACATGCAGGGACCTACAGAGGACAGAAGAGGGCGTTATATCCCCTGGAACTGGAGGTGGTTGTGAGCTGCCATGTGGGTGCTGGGAACCAAACCACTGCAGAGGCAATGGCCAATGCTGCTCACCAGACCTTCCTCTGGTTATCCTCTCCTCAGATGCTACCTGCCTCACCCAGACTTCCCAGAGGTCTGCACTCAAGCCAACTCCTTACATGTCGGGAGCTGAAGAAACAACAATCATTACCAAAAAATATAATATAGCTCTACAAACAGTTGACTTAAGCAGGAAATTCTGCCTGCACTAGTAACCTTGAGAAAGAATTTATGGCAAGGTTATCTTTCTCTTCCTCTTGCAAACAGTTCTCGGAAAGATAAGTCATGCAGTAATCTCTTGGAACACCTGGTGGTCAGTCACGTTGCTGAATTGCTCAGTCCCCCTCCCATACCCATAAAAATGCTGTAACCTTTTGACCAACTTCTTCAACCCCTTCTAAATACAAACTGTATATAAGGAAAGCTTGCAATACAATAAAGCGACCCTTGACAAGTGGACTTGCTTGGGCTCCGTCTACTCTTTCTCGCCCATTTTTCCTTTCAGGGAGTGGTCCCCCTCGAGCTTTACCTGTACAGGGTCCCCGCAGGCGGGGGCACTTACAAAGGTCTTTCTGCCCTCAGCACTCTCTCTTCACCACACTGCATTTTGCCAGTGATTTTGCTGCCTGCCACTGTATGATCTGTGTGTAGCTGTCTGCTGTGTAAGAACATGAGCAGAACAAGGGCAGGGATCCTGTCTATGTCCAGGACAGAGGAAGCAAGCAATGGATGCCCAGTGAAGGGATACATAAATTCAAGGTGATCTGTTCTAAGACACACCACTCAACCATCCACCACCTTTCTCAGAACTCTGCCCAGAGATGCTGAATTAAAACCCAAGGGTGAGACTGGAATCTGTCCCTTTTTTTTCGGTCTTTTTGAGACAGGGTCTCCCTGTAGCCCCAGCTGGCCTGGAATGCACTATGTAGACCAGGCTGGCCTCGAACTCACAGAGATCTGCCTGCCTCTGTCTC